AGATTCTATAGCTATACACCACTATGTACAATGCAAGCTGGCATTGAAGATCTTAAAGCTAGCTTTTAAAATCCTGATACTAAAGGCCCCAAACAGTTTTACCTAAAAGAAAAAGAATCTGGAAATAGATAAGATAGTTTAGTGGCTAATGAAACTCCAGGGAACATGGAACCACTTGTAAGGTAACAAATTACCTGCAAATATATATAGAAAAATACAATGCAGCAGTCTGAGTCTCTGTTTCAACTAAGAAAACTGTAAAATTTCAGTAAAAGCAGTTTCACAACTGTTTTTTTATCTTGATTTTTACAGAAGGAAGTCAAGAGTTTTGCCATTACAAGATTTGCATCACTGCATTGCATAAACTGATTCCAAACTAATTCAACTCCTGAATTGACCCTTAGAGATAGCAACCATCTTCTTTATTGCTGTTTACATTCATATCTAGTTAACACCTAACTTTAAGCCTAAAATAATGGACAAGGCAATAGGCTCCAGGATCTACACTGCTATTTCCTGGACAGCACTGGCAATCCAATCTGACTGAAAGCATTCTTCTGACACAGTATATATTGTGAACAGATGCATACAGAATACAGAACAGGTGAATGGAGGCTTATGGGAAAACTACCTCTGAAGCAGAGCTGGACAGAGCATTAACTTAGTTTCTACTAGTTCAGATTATAATCATGCAGAAATATCCAGGCTTGCTTATTTAAGTTTATTTAAGCTAAGTCTTAAATATGCTAACTCTGGTATGAAGGCAGTTTACCTGTGGTAGATGGGAGTTCAACATGGGTCAAATTATCTAGCTTTAATGCTACCTTCAGAATGTTTATACTACCCTGTCATCTGCAGCGTAGACATGCCCCCAGAAGTGTTGTCTCATAGCTAGCTTTGGAACAGAAGCAGAGGATTGTGCCTGTCCAGAATGCACCCCAATGCGGTTCCTCGAGAAAACAAACGTTAACAAAATAGTTATTCAATGCATGCAGTGTATTCATGATTTGAGCATGAAAACCTCCGGATCATCCAATATACATAAGTATTGTTTGGGAGGCAGCTCAGGTTTGTGAATAAATATTGTCTTATAAGTCAAGAGACCAAGCCTCTCTTCCTAATTGCAACCACTACCTGCTATGCGACCTGTGCAGTGTTATTTCACCTCTTGTTCCTTTCTCACTTTGCCTGCCTTGTCAAGGCAGAGACTGGATTTCACTGTGCACTTGTGTAGTCACCAAGGGTATGTACGAACATTACACTTAGATCGACCTTAATAGGGTTAGGTTGATCTAAGTGCCAGTCTGTATGGATGTTCAGGAAGGTTAGATTGGGCAAAAAATGGCCAGCCCAGTCTAACTGAGTGCAGATGGGCTAAATTAGATTAGGAATAGGTTAGCCTCATCTAATGAAGGTCTGCACATCTTTATGAGAGCAGACCCCAGGGCTGTGGAAGCCCAGATGCACGTCTCAGCCCTCAGGCTGCACTTTTCCTACCTCACTGCCCCAACCAATCCTACCCACCTGCCCCACCCCCAACAAACACCTGCTATATACAACGGTGGTGGGAGAAAACATTATTTGCAGGGGGTGGGAGGCAATATAGGGCTGCCCCTCCCTCCCGCAGAGCCGTTACAGGGCCAGCACATGGTGAGGCGCTGGGCACAGCATTGCAGCAGCAGGGCATGGCGATGGCACTGCAGCAGTGGAGCTGTGTTTGTGGGGGGTGAGCGGGGGCTAAGCCCTGTTAGCCCCAGCCTTCCGCTGCCTATGGCTATATACTTTACATCTAACTTGTATGCAGGGGTGCAAAAACAAGAGGAAGTTCTGCTGAAGTTTGTGGCCAGAGCAGATGAAAACAAAGTTGTCTTGCGCGCAGTTGGGGTTCACTGTTTCTCGTAAGACTATTTTCGTGACACTGTCCTTTAATTTTTTAATTAAAAAAAAGCCTTTTAATTTTTAATTTAAAAAATAAACAAGTCACACCCGCACCATGAAGTAAGCAAGCAGCATCTTAAAAACAGAAGTGACTCAGCAGTGGGTGAAGGCTTTTGAAAACTGTGAGTGTACCAATGCTTTTAGCAGGGTGAGGAGGGGGGAAGAACAGGGCCTGAAGCAGTGGGCAGGTGGGAGACAAGGACATTTATCCTATACACAATTTGAGAAAAACCTGGAGACCGATTACAGTGCTTCATAAAGATAGGCACCTGCACATACTACCACTTGACCCTAAAATACAACATTTGTCTTCTGACTATTTGGCAGAAGCTTGTGCTAGAGAAAATGACAACCAACTCATATTTTCATATTATGGCTGGGATAGTTACAAAGCCATTATACATGAAGGCCCCAGTACTACCATTGTTCTTCTTTTTCTAGATATTCCTTTAAAAACTTAGGTGGTGAGGGGGTTTAAGTGATGTGTGATTCTGGGTGCCCAGCTCTAGACACTTTACTAGGCCTGACTATCAGAAGTGTATCCATGCACAGAATTTCCTGAGCAGCCGCAACCTTTACGGCATCTCACATTGGGTACAGATCACCCCAAGGCACATTTGACGCTTGGATACAAATTCTAATGTGAAAACACAGCTTGAAACACACTCATCACAAACCTTTCCCAATGTTTACCCCTTTGACAATGAATTCCACCCCAAAAAGCTTAACAGATGCTTCAACTCCACATGGCAACACTGATCAATAAAGATTGAGCACTGCACCACACCCATTTTGACAGGACTATTAGTGCCATCACATTCTCTCCACCGCTTTGTCCCCAGTCATAAGCCTCTGAAAATCAAAGGGGTTACAAAGGTGGATTATAAAGGGAGATTACAAGACTGGTCCCATTGGTAACAGTGCCAGTATAGAACTGGACCAATATTAGGGGTCTCTCAAGTAAGCATGACTTAAACAATATTGGTAAACTTCCTTCAATTCTACCTATGAACCAATAAAAAAAGTCAGAGCACTGGCATCTTGTAACCACCATGCAGTACAGCACATGATTTTATTCTACTGATGAATTAATTACTTTACTTGTTGAGATGGTTATTTGATACAGCAGATGCAGGAGAAAAGTAAGCTACCACAATTAATAATGGCAACAATAAGTAGCTCTTGTACAGTGTTTTTCATTTGCTAATTACAAAGAGTTTAGCAAAGGAGGTAAATACTTTTACTCCAATTAAACATGAGGGGAAACTTGCTCATAATCACACCGGAAGTGGCAAGGAGAAAAATGAAGAATGACTTACAAGAAACAGGGACCAAGAAAAATAATTTGAAGCCAAATATAGTCTGTCTCATAATACTCAAAGACCTTTATTCCATCACAGTGTTTGAACTCTTGCTGCATTTGTACTCTTTCTGCAACCCAACGCTCCTATAACAGTTTTATTAGCAACTCAGTAGGAAGACACTAGCCAAAGCTAGACCTGTGTATGTAGACAGAGAGCATAAGAATCTGCCTTTTGAGTTATAATACCGTTACCTCCCTATCCCCTCTTCCAGCCCCCTCTGTTAGCCATTGCATCAATTGACAATGAAGGTGGCCATGAAGGCAGGCATTTACCTGCCTTTCCTGAAAAAAGGGGAGTGGCAGGAAGCCATAGAAATGAGATTCAAAATGAAAAATAGATCAGGTACAAAAAAAAGATTTTTGCTCTTTTGCTTTACAGTATAGCACTGTACTATACTATACTATACTATACTATACTGCTTTACAGTATATTTCACTGATTTTCGTATAATATCCAACAGCTACCAACCAGATCTATGGAGTGCCTTTTCTCTATAGAGACTTTCAAGGATAAAAGAATTAATGTCCAGAGTCCAAAGCAACTAAAAAACATGTTAGCAAAATGTTTCTTTTTTTTCTTCTTTTTTTCTTCTTTTTCTTTTTTGAGTGTGTGGGGGTTTTTTTGCTTATACTGATGAGAAGCTGAAGTCAGTTTAGTAACACAGCTATAAAGCTGGGATACATGAAAGAAAGTCAAGGTTCTGCATGTCATTTGCTACGATCTTGAATTATATAAATTATGGACTACTTTTCAGCTTAAAATTACCTAAGAAACAGCTTGAATCTACCGTAAATGCACAAACTTCCTGAAATATATTAACTGGATGATCTAAAAGGAAATAAATATAGCACTATGACACTCTCTTCTCTTATACAAAACATGCAGACCCAGATCACACAAATTCTGATTCCACATGTAGTATTTTCTACCTTGAATAATACCTACTGACTAATACTACTACTAATGAGCTCTATACCTAGTAATTAGTTCTGTAGAATCAGTCTTAGAGCATATCTTTATTTTTTCAGGCCTGACAGAGGTAAAGTAATCTACATTCACCAGCGAGTCAATTCTAAATTCCAAAGTCCCTCTAAAAGTTTCACTGTTTACAAGCTGATGTCCCAGCAAAATTAATTTATTTTCTGAAAACTATTAATGGTAATGGCAATGATAGAAACACTACAATTTTCCTTCCACGGTCCAATCAGTTTCTGAATTTCTTTTCAACCTCTTTATAAGAGAAATCAAAATTTGGGAAACTGCATGTAGAATCTGAGATCAGGGAGTAATTTGAATCGAAAGAGATTTTCATTTTTAATGCCTTCAAACACTGAAGAAAAAAGTTGATTCACAAAAAATAAAACAAGATTCTATTGAATTAGTACTTTTGAGAGTTCTAAATCCATTGTTTCTCAAATGATTTGAATAAATTAAAATAAAGAAAAAAATGCCATTCTTTCTTTTTAAAATAGCATATACACCTCTTGAGCATGGCTACACAGGAAGCATTTTAGTCTTGTACTTCATATGCGATGGCTTCCTGATTGAGTGACCCGCTGCCACTTTAGACAACATATATTATAGTTTTTGAACAAAGTTGCCAAGTCTTCATATTGCAAAGCTTCAACATTTCCTCTGTTCTACCAAAAGAATGCTACCATTCTAAAATTAGGGAATGAAATGTCAACTGCTACCTACCTTTGACAAAAACATCCTTCTCCAGAAGGGCAAACCCAAATGCCAAGAGTTTAAGCCACAAAAACATGGTTATATCTGGAAATCAGGCGTATCCTTATGAAACAGCATGTGTCTCTCTCTAGAAGGCAAAATAATTGTTATCTCTCTGTAAAAGAATTTCTCTGCAAAACTTGAATCAAAAGGAAAATAACCATGAACATACGCTGCAATGTCTGCTTATCAGTCAGGGAGCAGTTTCCTCTGTCACCCAAAGACTAACCACTTGCAATCTCACCATGTAGCTAAGTGATGTCAGAGACTATTCTACTTACTTCTTTAAAATGCTTTTTTTTTCAGTTTCCAGGAAGTCAAGAGGGTTTTTCTTAAGTTGCTGCAGTGATGTTTAACTTCCTTAATTCAAATGAATTGAGCAGTTTTAAGCATTTCTACTGAGGAATTGAATAGGCATGTAAAAGAATTTAACTTTTCCAAAGATGGGACTATAACAACCCTTATTAATCATAATGCCAGCTTTTCTGTAATTTAACCGGTGGTCCAATCTCTGGTCGTACATATCCTATGCACAATGTCATGCTATTATTGGGAGCTTTACAACTTCTTGAGAATCCAAATTTTCTCATAGAATATTTAGTCTATTTATACTGTTTGGCTGGGGGAAGTACTCCTTGAAAACTTTTGCTTGGTGGTCTTTTGCTGAGTAAGCAAGACATCACAGACATCTTCCCTCAATGAGGGTATTGGAGAAAGACTCAACCATGGACTTGCAATCCAGCTAGACAATGAAAACCATTTACACTGCAAGGTATAAAATAGGGATAAATGTTAGAATTTCATGCTTTTGGGGGAAGGGAGAGGGGTAAATTGAAATGCAACACATACTGTTCATCAGAAAAATAGCCAACATGTACCACCAAGACCCTAAGTTCACAGGATTGATACAAAAGAGAAAAGAACCTCACACATTTGTGTTTGTTACTCATATGCATACATTTATTACTTCCCAAACATTACACTATAACACAATGTAAATGAAATACATAAATGAGTGGACATAATTGCACCATATTCCCTCTGAAACCAAAGCCAGAGTATGGCATATATTGTGTATAGATTCAAGTCTATGCCACCAGCTCCTGAAGTCATGGAACCAAGGAAGAAATCTCATTAACAAAATTAATTTAGACCATTTAGTTACAAAGAAAAGCTTGAAAATGTGACCTGAGTGCATGTAATATGCTGACATCTACATGAATCTATAGGCCACCTGAAACAAAAGCTGTGAGAGGAGGTAACCTACATGTTTTCAAGTTGCCCTATGATGAATCTGGCCCATAACAACATACACACACGTCTCGGCATCATCATCTCTTTCCTTCTGCCCCTCACCAACCCACAGTCTGTGGTTGTCCAGTCTGAGTAATATAGCGTTTTCCATTCTACCCAGGGTCCCATACAGGACTCATTATCAAGGTATGCAAGATCTTTTGCTGTGCTAGCTCCCCTACAGAGTTTCATAGGAACACCAGCCAAATTTTCAAACTTCCTTCCCCAGAAGACTCTCTAAAGGATGGTGCTGAACAATGGACAATTCCTCTCTTCCTGGGCACATAGAATGCCGCTATCGCTCAAATATATTGGCACACAGCATGCAATCATTAATTCTCACAGTGCTATTAGTATTATCTTCATTTTACAGATGGAAGTACTTATTCACAGACAGAAAAAAAGTGATTTACCAGTGCACACACATGAAGTCTGTAACAGATTTAGGAAATGAAACTAAACCTATATCTCCAGGGGCCCACACAGGACCTAACCAATGACAGCCACAAGATTTTCCTTTTCTCTGGCACATAGCACCCCACAGCAAAGCTATTGTTGTGGGCATAACAGCTGCACACTAAAAGAACAAATCTTGCCACTGGTCTGCACACGAGTGGAAATGGCTTGCACTGAAAACTCCACAGTGGAATCACGGATGATGCCTTTACTCAATAAGGAGCCACTGAGCTGATGTTGCTTTTGTTTTTAGCTGAGCTTCAGCTGTTGTAAAACTACATTGACTTGTATTGCCATCAAATCCCATTACAACTTGGCCATTCCCTGAATGCCTGCAAAAGAATTTGAAGGCAGCATAGTGCCAACCCACAAACTTTTTAAACCACTAAATATGCTGTTGTTTTTTCTGATATACCACATGCATCTCAGCCACAGACTCCTTAAAACTACTATTCTACCTGGCCAAAAATAGGAAGGAAGTATGTGCAGGAAGTGAGCTCTCAATCCATCACCCTTAATAATAAAGTCTGGTGAGATGAAAAATATTTACTTCATGTTTATTATCAGGAGTTCTCCAAAAAAAATCAAGTCCTGTTTTGAACACATGTAAGATGATGATAGAATAGTACATCCCGCTAGTATGTTCAGTCACCAAAAAAAAAAGTACTTTATGATTTATATGATATACGACATATAAAGATGTCTATATGAGGACATTGGTATTGACAGGCAAAGTCAAATAGCTTTAGATGTGAAAGGCAATTGTAGACAGAGGAGTCTAATGGTTCTGGCTTGCTCTACTGAAGGAAGCAGATGCTGCAAACCCATGTTACAGAACACAGAAACTGTGCCTACTCACCAGTAAATATAGGGATTTATCCAGGGCTGGTCCCTCTCTGGCCATGTGGGTGCTCAGAAAATGACAATGCAAGATGCAGAATAAACACCTGGCAGAATAGAAGTTTATTACAAATATCCATTTTGAAGACAAAAAAGAAAGATGTCTTGCAGTGGGGGTCTCCTGTAAAATGAGTCACCCAGGGCGCATCTACAAGTGACACTACATCGCCATAGCAATGCACTACGGCAACATATCATCCGAGGGCAAGAACCGTGACACAACAGCTACATCGTTATAGCAATGCGCTACCTCACTATAGCACATCACTACGATGACATAATGCCTAAAACTAAGCATGTGTGGCGTACTATGGACTGTTATTGCACCATCATTTAGTACTTCCAAAAATGATGGCACACTAACAACAGCGGCATAGCAACACATGTAGATGTGCCCCGAAAGTCTTAGCTGATACCTGAGCCTTATGGTTGCCTGTTTTAGCTTTCTGGCAACAAGAAAGTTGTTGGGTTTTTTTGTTTTTTTGTTTGCTTTTGCTGAATTCATTACATTGCAAACATTTCAAAGAATAATAGCTACAGAGTGCACTGAAAAATCATTCTGTAAAATTGCCCTGGTGGTTTCATATGTTTATTGTCACGTAATGATTTCTATAACACATGTGCTCAACCTCCGACCTGAGACTCAAAACTGGGTTCTGTCAGAGGAACATTAGCTATCTCTGTTAAGAGTCCTGGCTTGAAACCAACTGAGAAAGACAGATGTCATGAAGTCAAGAAATATACCAAATGGTGCATTATGAAGTCTGGCTTTTCAGTTTAAAGCAGGGAACCCTATTTTAGCATATTTGAAGCATAGTAAAGAACTGCAGAATGAAGTCCTTAACCACAGCAATCCTTATTTTGAATATATATATATATATATATATATATATATATGTTTAATTCCTGCAGAGATTTGTACATGCCCCCACTGGCATCAAAATGGATCTAAACCAAGGTGTCAGTTGTTGATATATTGTATTATAAAAGCTGTGGTATTTATTGATATGTCACTTACAACTTTATGTCAGCCAGCATATATCAACTGTATGTGCTGCATAATAAGGCTTCTCTTTTGCCAAGTACTATAGTGAGCATAATGTAGGGCGTACAGCTGCCTACACAGAGGTCTAGATGCACCCACCTTGAAAATACCTGTCTCTGCCACAATGAATAGAGTCTCTTCAAGTCTCTGAGAACACATTCAGACAATAAACCAGTCATGTTTGTACATTTTGGGGAAAGAAGGAAGGGATGGCTTGTTTATTTTTGTTATGTGTAGCTTAAATGATGAAAACTTTATTAAGATAATGAGACAACTCCTCTGTGAGCCTCAGCCACGCATCTTGGCATCCAATGCAGACCATGTGCAGAGAACCCCCTACACACTACTATGTAAGTTAGCAAAAAAGATTCAAAAGAAAAACATTAAGCACCTGGTGTTTCTCTAGTCAGTTAATCAAACTTGAATTGAAAAGTCTCTGAAGGAAAAAGTATTATTTCTGCTTCTGCACTAGTTTAAACCAGGTCAGAACTGAACTACTCTCTTTAGGAAATGTTATAGTCCATTCAAGTTGGTAATTTTCTTTGCCACAGGGAACTGATCTTGGGATTTTCTCTGACTGCCACATGCCTAGAAGGAAGTCACCTGCTGTCTAGCATGGCAGTGCACTTGCTCATCATGTTGAGCCTGATGATAGGAAGCTCACCCTCCCACGATATCCAGACTCTACTTCTGGCCTCTTGCTGGGCTTTGGATCAGGAGGCGACAGCTGCCAAGGGCCTGCACATTAGCACACAGCTTAGGGCTGCAGGAGGCTTGGCAAGGACATGTACTAACTGACGCTCTGCAGCCCAAGTGGAGTGGTTTAATCAGGAGGACCTGCCCCTAGCCCAGGAAGGAGGGTGGAACCATGGGAGGCTGCCAACCATTGACTGTAGGGTCCTTCTCCTGACACCAGGCACTTGGACGAGGAGGAGGGGACAAAAAGCTGGTATAGGAGCCAGAGGCCAAAGACTGAGAGAGACTATCCAGACAAAATCAGAAAGGCACAGATGCAGAGCAAGTGACAGGTACATCAAGCAGGAGAAGCATGAAGACAAGCAGACAGACACGGAGAGGAACCAGATATCTTTTCCAGTAAACATCGCTGGATGCTGTCCGTTTGATTTGGCACCCCCACATTCGAGGATGCCTGGTGCTGGTGCACCACTGGCACCGCCCTTGAAATGGTACTGCTGAGGGCCAATCATAACCTGATGTTTAACTCAGACAGTCGATTTCAGTGTAAGTTTTGCCTATAAAAATCAAACAAGTGCATCCAGCTGCAACCCTGCACTTCTTATTCTACCAAAGCAAAAGTTGCCCATTCATTAGCCATATTAGATGGTTTTCATGGTAATGTGAAAAATAGCATAAAATCATAAACCATCCATCTTTTGAAACTTTTGTTTTCAGGATGCAAAGTATCTATATCAAGGAGCCCCAGTATGCAGTTATGGGAAGTTAATTTTTGTACATCATTTACCTATTTCACAGCAGACAAAATTTGTTTAATTACCTCACAAGTATGTGTGCATGACTATGTATCATATAG